TGGAGGACTTGCGGGATTCGATTGAGCTCAAGGCCCGTCTTGCTGGCCACATGAGCTCGGATGGCGTAGCCGATGTGGTTTCTGGCCGGAGCATCGGCTTCAAGGCGGACGAAGACCCGGAGGTCTTCTCGAGGTGGGGCGGGCACCGGTGGTCGTTGCCCTTGGCGATAAGTGGCAGCAGGTTTTTTGTGGTGGCTGGTGGGCAGTGTTTGTGGTGGCAATTCGAGTCGGAGAGGCGGTGGCATTGGCGGCAATGCTGCTATAGGTTGGTGCAGATGCGCAGTTGGTGTTGGTCAGAGCTTGTTTCCAAAATTCGAGGAAGCTACTGGAGAAGTGCTTAGCGAAGTCGCGTTCCGGCCCGGTAGTGAATTCCTTGGCGGCCTCGTTGAAATGTGCGCAGAAGGTTCGGAAGACCCTGAGTTTGGCGTTGTAGGCGGCGACTTGCTCGTCGACGAGCTGGTTAGCTGCATCGGTGATGTCAATGGGTGACCGCTGCTCATGTGTGACCGTCGTAGGCAGTGCAGGGAATTCGTCGAGCTACTGTCCTTCCGCAATGGCAGCATTGCACATCCGGGTGAGTGGCGACGAGGGCGTCTGGCCCGTCCTTCCACGTGCAGGTGAAACGCCAATGTCGGTGGTCTCCACGGGGGAGCTGTCTCGGAGGAGGGCTGCGCGGGCGCCTCGAGCTAAGTTCTTGGGTGTGTAGATGCCGAGATCGAAGGGATCCGGCTCGCACGGCGGGCTGGAGGTGGCCGTTGCCATCGCCGCCGCCGAGGCCGCGCAACGCGCAGAAAAACGAAGTTTTCGAGTGGTGTTAAGCAAATTGGTGTAATTTAGTCTACTTTCTTAACAATTCCATGCCAAGAAAATAATAATACAGGGGAAGGTGTATATCAATGCCCCAGTATTGTGAGGTACAATTTAGGGTAGGCTTGATATGAGAAGTCTCTACACCAACAGCCCGTCTTTGCCATGTATATGTGTGTACTCTCGGGCATAAGACATTAAGTAGATTTTAACGCTCCACTATGGTTACATGGTTTCAGTATGGGCCGTGTTATGACTGCAATGGCTGAAACGCATGGCGACAGATAAACAGGTGTTTCTGGCAGGCTGTCCGACTGGCCGTTCCCTGCATCATTTGCACTTATCAATGTGTAAGGCTTTATATCATTCTGCGTTTTTCACAGCTACCGTTAACAATACAAATTTCCGTCACTCACGCGTTCTTTGCCCAGGGAAATTCTCTATGCCAACGACGTCACCTCAAAACCTGCTGCTGGAGGCAGTGTTTGATCATCTGGTCTTGCCGCGTAAGCTTCCAGCATCCCCAGATGATGACTCTGTTCCGCTCAGCTGGGAGATGACAGCGCGATTGCTCGACGCTTGCAAGAAAATGAGGTGCGATGAATCGGAAGCCATCTGGAACATGGTAGAGGCCTCCTTGCGTCTGACGCAGGATCTGAACCGGAACCCCGCCTCCAAGGAAACACTGGTTTCAGCATTCTCCGAAGTTGCTCGAAACAAGTCCGTTGCGTGGCTTGTTCTTCACGTTGTGCAGCAAAACGCTGCCATCATCGTTCATAAAAACAACAAGTGCGTATCTTATGTAGCTTCCTGTAGACTTCTCATTCACTGACAAGTTGCATAGCACGGGGGAGGTGGTTTTTGACGCATTCGAGGCTTCACCTACTGCTCCGGCTGTACTCGAAACCAGTCACGCCCTTCAGTGGAGTTTTCCCAGTCGATCTGTTGCCATATCCGAGTTAGAGTTTAGCAAAGATTCCTTCCAAGATGGCCTTGCAGATTTCTTGGAGCAGGCCAGCGAGGTTGCCTTCGACCAGTTTGCAGCCCGAGCATCCAAGGGGGATAAAATGGTTGTTGAGTCACGCGACACCCCGAGCCCAGCGCTCATTACGGAAATGCTCTTGTCGTTTCTTGAGGCCACGGGAAGGGCCTTTCCAGTCCATGCCGTTCACAAAAGGGTCAGAGACGATGTTGTACTCGGATCGTCCGAAACTCCTTGGAGGCGGTCTCCCTACTGGCTGATACTTCGAGTTGCCGTCCAGCGAATCCTGTTGACTTCATGCAGTGATGACCTCGGTACAAGTCGCCTCTACTTCAAGTTCGTCATGTGCATCGTCTTTGCTCGTCTTCTGGCCGACTGTCAGCCAACTCTTCATCCTGAAAAGACTCTCATGTTGCAGGCCAAATTGTGCCGTCGGCTGGCCAAGTTGCAAACTGACATGTCTGAAGCTCCTGCTGCGCTCCAACAGCTTTACGAAAAAGAGTTCTCCAAGACAAGATCCTTTTTTGAATCGACTCTGACCAAGGCAAAGGCGGCCATAAGTACTCTTTGGGACGCCCACAAGAGAAGGGTAACTCGTTCCATACCACTTCTTCCGTCGTGCGCCTCCAACAGGGATCTGGTTTTAAAATTACAAAACAGCGGCAGGAAGTTACAGAACCTTTTGAATACTAGCGTAGATCCACCCAAACGAAAATCTCTCCTCGGCCCCCCCTCGCTCGCTGAAGGGACAGTGTCGCAGGTGGATGAGTTCGCAACTCGATGCTCCAAACTCGTCGACTGCGCTAGCAAAGCAATGTCACAACTAGATTGTTCATTTTCTTCCCCCGCAGATAAATGTGTCACGCTTTCTGGGGCAATGATGAAATACATGGACGCGGTTGGAACATACTACTTGGACGATGCGATCCTGATGAGCCAGTATCTGCTCAATCTTTTTGAGCTTTGGGTGGCTATAGACTCTCTAGCAACCACCATATGCCCCCTACTCCAAGACTATCACCCCGTTTTTGTTCCCGAGGCGATAGATATGCTTTGTCTCATGACAAGACGCGACATGGAACGACTCCGCAAAGACGTAGACCTTTGCGTGGGATAGCAAATGCCCCGCGGTAGGCGCTCCTGCGTCGGATCCCGTCAGTGAGTCCACGTCCAGTGCGTCGCTGATCCTCGGAAGTGACACAAACTTGGCCCACAATCGTTCCTGTTTTGAGGACGAGGCCCTTTTCTTTTTCTTGCTCTTTTTCACAGAGGCCCAACCCCAGGGATCATCCACTGGGACAGGCTCGGGCTCAGGCTCAGGCTCAGGCTCGACTGAAGGTTCAACAGGATTGACTAGCTCACCCGGGCCACTGGAATATGTAAAGCCGCTGTGAGGGCTGCTTGGCTCAGGTCTGCGACATCATGAAGAGCACAATACTCTGACAGGTAGCGGATAGCAGTGCTGAAGGATGCGGGACGAAAATCAGGGTTGTGGGAGGGAGGCTGGATGGTTGCTGAGATGAGAAAAGTCGGACCTGACTGGATTCTGATGGCCCCATGGTGCGTAGAGATGGAAATCTGAGTTGCTCCGGATCGAGGCCTTCCAACCATCGTCTGTTGACAGGACGGCTGTCCACCACCGAGCAGCATCTCCATCCACATCCCCCACAATAGGGGAAGTGTCGTCTTCTAGCCCACTCAACCCATTTCCGGCGTTTGGCTGATCTTCGTGGTTGCTGTAAGTCAGCCCGCGTGCTCCAAGAATAAGTTCCGCCCATCTAGCCGAGAGAATATATGCCCAAGCAAGGGTATGAATGGGAGCATGGTTGCTCTTCATGTCAAGGTAATCCCCAAGCCTTGTTGCCGGATGTGAGTCAGAAACGAAGACAATTGTTATTATGCAGCTTGAAGCGACCTGGATAACTACATCTCTCTGAAATGTTGAGAGATGAAAGGGCCTTTGGGTGGTTGTCTATGTGGTTTTACCCCTTACGGTGACCGTGTTTGCAAAAGAATTGTCTGGCCTAAGGCCTTCCGGGGAGTATGGGTGGTCGGTAAGGTAGTGTAGTGGGAGGTGCTTATCCGCCACAGCTCTCTCCCAAAGTAAGTGCTGACCAAGTTTGGTATCTCCTCTCATACATCGCCATGAAGGCTACCCCGCTCGGGAGGACTGCATCTTCCATGGACAGCACGTGTAATAGCTGGTTGTTGGGGAGGGTATGCGGAGTCGTATGTGTATCGTGCAGAAGTCTGGGATGGCCAGGGTATGATGATCTTACAATGGTAATTGTTGTTGCATCACGAGGCCACGGTACTCTGAAACTGGATCTCTAAAGAATTTGCTACAGATATCCGTTTTTTGAGCCGACAAGTGGGAAAACGATATTTGCTATTGGAGAGTCAGTTCCAAAGAATGGCGAGGTATCGGTATCGGTAGCTGGTTGAGAGTTGAACTGCTACTGTAGACTTGACAAATACACTTACTAGCAAACTATCAGAAATTTTCCAGCGGTCCCCGGTAAGGCAACTCTGCTCATATGTCAATCTGGTAAGGTCTCGGGTTGGCATCGGGCCTGGTGTTTCATTAGCTTGTTTGGTAGGCTGCCCGCTCGTTCTACCTTGAGCTTGCCACCGGCAACGACCCTGCCGTCCAAGGCTTTCATGGCTGCGGTCGCCTGCTCCTTGGTTTTGAAGTCAACGAAGCAGTAGTGGTGGTTGCCTGGTCTGGACCTCGTGGTCTGGTGCGGCGTGATGCGTTTGCCAATGGCCGCCCTGGAATGTACATAGTGATCAGCGAGGGC